TCCCTGCCATTGCAGGTGCAATGTTTTATACTATCTTATTGAAATCCATCTTGAAAGCAGGTAGGCTTTTCTTTTGTTTTTCTCTTTCTTTTTCTCTTCTTCCTCTTTCCTCTGCTCTCTTCTTTCCCGCTTGATTGTCATGGTGGTCAGAGTCATCTTGGTTTCAGTCTAAAGTTCTCTGATCTGTATGGAAGATAGACTTTTACAGTGAGAACTACGTGCTGGATTACATGAATTGGAATCTCTTCTTAGTTTCTAATGTGAATGTATGACACAACATTGTATTTCAGGAAATGTGCTGAGTTTGCATACACAAGCATGATGATTATTGCACAATAAAAAAGGTGTACTGGCAATTATGGGAACAAAACTTTCTTGTATTGAAGGTTAAATCCTGCTCTTGCTGCTCTTGATTCTGATCTTAATATTTTCAAAAGCTTGCATGTTTGCTTTTTTTATATGTACGGTAGTTAATATTGTGGAATTTTCTGGGATTTCATATACTGCACAGAGTTATACGGACTTATAACAAAAACAGTCTTCAGCTGCAGGACTGTGGCTTGCTGAAACCTAATCTTTCTGCTGAGGATGATTCTGTCCTCCCAATAGAAAATTCTGCAATACAAAGACTTAAAACTACTTCGCTGCCCCCATCTTAAATCTACAGGGGGGGATGGGGGGGGGGGGCATTCAGAGGCAGATATACCAAGCAGATACCCAACTTGATTTTTCAAATTCCAATTTCTGCTTTTGAAAATAATTCCCAAGGTCCAATACCTTCTTAAGCCTTGCATGTTTTATCTGTATTTCAAAGACTTCATTTCTGCATGGCAACAATAGTGCTTCTCTTTTTCTTTCTGAAAAGAAGATAAAAAATTGAATAAAAATAAACCTCCATGTCCCCATCTTGCCCTCCCAAATATTTCTCAGACTTCATAGGCTCAGGTATTGCTAGCCTAATGTGCTTTCTCAGAAAGTCAGTGTTTTTTCCTAATGCCCAGAGCATATATCCTCAGTAGCCTAGTTTCCAAATCTCAAAAAGAAAGGATTTGGAAAGCTTTTCCAAAGCTTAGAAAAATCTACTGATCTTCTTTTTCTGTTAATTTGTCAAGTTGTGGTTTTAATCTAATTTTACGCAAGTACCCATGACATCCTGTGTCAGAGCTGCATATTTAATTACATTTTTTTAAATCATTCCTTTTATTTGGTTTAAACAAACAAACAGAAAACCTGCCTTCCTTTTGGTATTCTGATAAATACCTGGTTGATTCTTGCATAGTCTGTGCAAGTCATAGACTTTAATTCATTTCAGGGATCTGTCTTTGATTAACCTAGATTTTAGTTCTGAAAATTTATTCCGCAGATATATTCTTTTTCTGAATACTTGGCAGGGGAACCAAAGGGTTTTGCCCATTTTTTATTTTGGAGGGGGGAAGGAATTAATTGAAAATTGGCCTTGCTGCTTGTTTTGGCAGTAGGGTTGTAGATTCTGGGGTGCTGTGACTATCTGAATTTGGGTCATTTCATAAACTTCTGGCATAATAAATTTGCATACGTTTCATAGTTCGAGTCTTCAGAGATGACCTATATGCCAAAGTCTTATGAAGACTTTCCCTACACTTGCTCGGGAAGGTCTATACTGAGTCAAGCAATTGAGGTAACAGCAAAGTCCCTCTCTTATGCAGGCAATTGCCTGTCAGCTGGACCCATGAAAGAGAGAAATTTATCTGTGCAATGAGAAATTCATCTAAATTTATCTGAGAGCAAAGAAGACTTGCTATTTGCAAGAAAAATGGAGTGTAAGAGACTCAGCTATGACAAAAAGATAGAAACTGCATTTCCAGAAAGAAAGAAACCTGATATGACAGGGATTTACCTGCTGCCTGGCACTATCTGAACAACGGCAATGGGAGATGTGGATCTGCAAGCAAATGGCAAGGCAGGCATTGCAGGATGAGAAGATGGATATTTTACTTGGAAGAGAAGGCAAAGGACCAAGGCGCACATTTGGGGAAGGCAGGAGTAAATGGAGTCTAGAGCAAACACTTGCCAAGGCACACCTCCCTCTAGACTTTGGAATGGGACTCAAGATACCTGAGTTAGCCCTGCCTGAACCATGCCATTCCTGGGTTACTGCAACTTGTGGTGAAGAACACGTATCAGAGTGCTGAAACAGGCAGAGGACGAAAACCAAGATTGTTCTTCATTATTTCAAGTAGTGGAGGACTGCTGCATAGATCTAAAGTACAGCTCTTACCATAATGCCCCCTACTGAAATTTGGTGGTTTGTTTCCTTTTCTTCACAGAAAACTATGTAAGCACACACACAATAAAACAATATTGTTGAAGGACTGCTGAGATTAGAAAGTCTTAAAAACTAGGAAATACTTGAATAATTTGTGCAAGCTTTGTTCAGACTTCTTGTGCATTTGCCTTATGAAAGCTTTCAATTGCACGACTAGTTGCCCTACGTTCTGTTGGAGGCACAGAAGGGAACTGCTTTGGCACTAGCCGAGAGCCGTGTCTGCTTCAGCTGTGCGCTAGGTGACACGAGGCAGGTTTCACTTCTTACCGGTAGTTTTTCACTCTGTTCTATTTCAACTTCGGTTTGCTGAGTTGAAGACAACAATTAATGCATACCGGTGTTAACCAGCATTTCTGGAATGTACAGTCACTTTACTGGCTAAACTTTGCCCAACTTATTGGAGAGAAATAGGCAGATTTTCTGATAAATTTAAATAGTCTAGAAAGAACAAAGTTTGCAGGAATTTACAACATTAGTCATTAGCCAACAAAGCTCATCTCTGTGCATTTCATCTAGTAAAGAAAGTTGCAAAGAAAACCAGGGATGCAAAATTAGAAGAAACAAATCTGCAAGAACGTAAGTAAGTAACAATGGATCAAATGTGAAAACACTTGTTTCAGAATCATGCCATACTTTCAAGTATTGTTGTAAATAATGACTTTTAAGGTTGGGAAAAATCCTTAAGTCCCTTTATTCTGTATCTGCTTCCACTAATAGCAGTAGAATGCACACCATGATTATGCATGTCACCCAAGGCTGTTTTCACATATGAGAGACATCATCATCATCTGTTCAACTATATAATGTTGATTTGAAACCCGGTTCAGCACCTGAATTCTCCAAACGGGTGTGTTAACAGAAAATTTTAGGGAACAATTGCTTCCCCTTGTTCCTCATGGAGTCCAGCTCTCTGAGCACTAAATAAAGCATACAAGTGTTTGGACAGGAGACTTTCAGATAATTTCAGTTGCTACTAGATGTAGCAGGGTTAACACAAACACCGGTGGTGCTTTTTCTGTGTCATTACAGCCACCATTATTTTTGCAGGATATCAGAAACACGCCTACGAGTCTTTCACGTAAAATGTGAAGTTAAGATTATAATTGCTTGTGGTCATTGGGCAGCCTGTTCCCCTAGCCGTTTGCAAATTAAGGTACCATTCGGTACAAGCAGACTGTTAACCTTCAGACAGCAAAGTTGTTATTCTCCTTTTTATTTGCTAAACAATTACATCCTGCAGTTGCTGCCGAGTACAGACAGGCCGGTACTCTGTCGGTAAATTACCTGGTCTCTGGTAATTCACGAAACGCCAAAGAAACTACATTTGGGGGGAAGATGAGCCAGCATCTCGTGGATCTTTGGTTTGAAAACTTTTATTTTTTGTCAATTCTAACGGACAAAGCCCCCAACGGCCTGGTACTATTTTGATGTTTTGCTTTTGCCGGTTTAGGACGAAAGAAATCTTGACGTTTGAAGCTGCCGCCCAAGCGCAGACCCCGGCCCCCGCCGCCGTTCCGCCAGCACCATCAACAGGCGGCCGCTCCCGCCCTCCAGGAGAGGGCCCC